CTGAAAAAATAAAGTGAGTCTAGGGAATGACTCAGTACAGGCATAAGGACCTGAGTTTGGACCCACAGTGTCCCATAAAACTAGGCAAGGCTACATGTGCCTGTAACTCCAGCACTAGGGGAAGAGGAGACATGAGGATCACCAGAGTTTGCTGGCCAGCCAGCCTACAAGAAAATCAGCAAGCTGAGGGGGGAGGGGATGTCAATGAGAGACTCTTCTCAAGAAGATAAAGCAGAGAGTGCGTGCTAGACCAGGACGCCCAACATCCTCCCTGGTCTCTACTCACATACACAGAGAATAAAAACAAGGCCTGAAAGAACACTCAAAAAGCTCACCTACCATCAGAAGCATCTATGATGTCCCCTACTCCCCCACCCCCTAATTTTCTGAGATAGTCTCATGTACTGAAGGCTGGCCTGAAACTATCCAATAGGGGCTGGACTTTTAACTCCTGATGCTCCTGCCTCTGCTTCATAATATGCCCAGGATAGTATGTCCTTAAAAACTGATGTGAAGGCCTGGCGTTGGTGGTACACTCGGGAGGTAGAGGCAGGCGGATCCTTGCGAGTGCGAGGACATCCTGGTCTCTGGAGTAAGTTCCAGGACAGGCTCCAAAGCAACACAGAGAAACCGTGTCTCAAAAAATCAAAAAAAAAAAAAAAAAGGGAAAAAGGAAAAGCTGATGTAAAGCTGAGCACAGTGGCTCACATCTTAAATCCCAGCACTCGGGAGGCAGAGGCAGGCAGATCTCAGAATCTGAGGCCAGCCTGGTCTACAGAGCAAGTTCCAGAACAGCCAGAGCTACAGTGAGACCCTGTCTTTAAAAAAAAAAAAAAAAAAAAAAAACAGACTGGTACACACCTTTGATTCCATCAGAGGCAACAGGGGCAGAGGCAGGAGGATCTCTTGTCAGTTCAAGGCTAGCGTGGTCACACACCAGTTTCAGACCAGTCAGGGATACACAGTAAGACCTTGTCTCAAAAATCCTATGTAATTTTCTAATGTCCTTCCAGAAAAAAACAGATTATTGGCAATTGAAACAATTATATAATGTATACTACATTCCAAGCTCCAGAACCAAAGTTGTACATACACTGTTTGCCAGGAAATTTGTTGGGGATGGAGGGCTTGTATGTCTGTATGTGTGTTTGGGGGGTGGTGTTTTACCGGTGTGTATGTGTGCATGAGGTTGTATGTGGGTGTGTGTGGGTACATGTGCATATTGCAGGTGGAATCCAGAGGTTTCACTATGGTATCTTCCTCAAATGTGCTCCTTTTTTGGGGAGTAGTGGGTTCAAGAGTTTTTCTGTGTAGCCTTGGCTGTCCTGGAACTCTCTCAGTAGACCAGGCTGGTCTTGAATTCACAGAGATCCACCTGTCTCTGCCTCCCGAGTGCTGGGATTAGCTCCCTAGTTTTTCAGGCAGGGTCTTTCACTGAACCTGAAGCAGATGATTTAGGGAGGCTGGCTGGCCATGAACTTCAGGGATCTACCTACTCACCCTTCAGTGTTGGGGTTACAGACGCAGAAAATTGTACCTGCATTTTACCTGAGAGCTGGGGACCCAAACTCAAGTCCTCACGCTTATAGGGCAGGCACCACACTAGCTGAACCACCTCTCTGGCCCTTAACTTGTTTTAATTCTGCAAACAATCTCTTAAAGAGGATTAGTGAGCCGGCTCAGCAGTTAACAGCACTGGCTGCTCTTGTAAAGAACCCAGAACCCACATGACAGCTCACAGAAACCTGTAACTCCAGTTTCAGGAAATTCAACGCCCTCTTCTGGCCTTCTCAGACACCAGGCACACACATAATGTGCATACAAACATGAAGGCAAACACTTATACACAGCAAATATCAATTAACACATATTTTTTAATGAATTTACGAGGGCCAAGTTGCATACCAGTTCATAAGCTGCCATGTGTGTGCTAGGAACTGAGTCTGAGCCCTCTACAAGTGTGCCATGAGACTCACACCCATACATATACACAAAAGAGTAAATAAATACAAACTTCTAATGTGAAATCACTCACGACAGTTATTATTCACCCCATCCTTTTTACAAGTAAGAAAATAGAAACCAGCCAGACAGTGGTGGTGCACACCTTTAATTCCAGAATTCAGGAGGCAAAGACAGGCAGATCTCTGGGAGTTCAAGGCCAGCCTGGTCTACAGATCAAGTTCCAGGACAGCCAAGGCTACAGAGAAATCCTGTGCCAAAAAAGGAAAAAAAAGGAGGAGGAAAGAAAAGGAAGAGGAGGAAAATAGAAACTAAAAAATTAATCTACTTGCTGGGTCCAGTGTTTCACACCAGTAACTCCAGCACTTGAAAGGCTGAGGCAAGAGTCACACAAGTTAATCTATTGTATAGGACTTGGTAACTACTAAGCATATTAGCATACTAACATAACTGTTATCTATTAAACCAAGACAAAACCCCAAAATCTCATCAACTTTCCACATTACCAAGACACCTAAATTCCCAAATGCAATGCTGATCATTAGGGAGGCAGAATAACGTAGTGGTCAGAAATGCCTGGATTCTAGTTCAAGTTCAGCTAGTACGACAAACTGTTTAAAAGGTGTCTTCACTGTCTATAAAACTGGACTTTTAGAGTACCTGGAAGCTGAGGCAGGATCTATATACTTACAATGTAAATAGATCAGACCAGCTTGTTCTATATACATTGTAAGATCAAGGCCTGATATAAACCATTACTCAAAATTTTTCAAAACAATGAACTTGGAGCTAATCGTGATAGCACAAGACATTAATCCCAGGACTCAGGAAACAGAGTCAGGAGCATCTCTGTGAGTTTAAGGCCAGCCTGGTCTACATAGTAAGCTCTGGGACAGCCAGAACTATATAGAGAAAACCTGTCTCAAAAAACAAAAACAATGAACTTGAGAGGCTTGAGACATGGTTCAGTGACTGGACTGGGAACACCTGTTACTCTTGCAGAGGACCTGGGTTCAGTGTCTAGCGCCCACATGATGGTTCACAGCTGTCTATGACTCCAGTTCCAAGGGATCCAATGCCCTCTTCTGATCTTATTGGGACCAGGCTGCATGTGATGTTCATATATGCACACAAAGCACTCATGTGCATAAAGTAAATAATTTTCTTTTTAATTTTTAAATGAACTGGAGGGGTGTGACTGGAGAGATGGCTCGTAGTTAGAATACAAACTGACTGCTCTTTGAGGAGACCTGAGTTCAATTCCTAACACCCACAACCACCTATAACTCCAGCCCCAGAGAATTAACACCCTCTTCTGCCCCTGACAGCACCAAGCATGCGTGTTCACAGAAATCTATTTAGGCAAAACATACACATTAAAAACTAAATAAAACAATTAGTGAACATGGGGCTTGGAGAGACAGCTCCGTGATCAAGAGTGTATACTGTTCTGGCAGAGGACCTAAATTCCATAACTAACTGTGGGGATCACAGACCCTGGCCGGAAACCCACTCCTCGATCAGCCTGGGAGCAGGCAGCTGCAAGACAATGTTTACTGAAAACAATTCAGTGCCATAAGCTCCTGATAAGGGCTCCAATAAGGGCTTGCTCACTGAAACACCATGACTTTGATCTTCCCGAAGGCTAGCTACTCCCTGCTGTTCCAGATTCTGGTGCCAGAGATTTAACCACCAGCCAGGAGGAAAGAGGTCTGTGAGAGGGCTGTTGGAGATTTGTGCATGTATGGATGGCAGAAGTTTTTCTGAAGGGAAGCGTTTTTCTTGAGAAGTTCTCCTAAGTCGATTTGGGGAGCATAAAGTTTTCTTAACGCAACCGACTGGTCTCTGTGTCATCTATCCCAACCATGTCTCCACATTCTTGGATACAGGCTGAGCAAGAGGCGCAGCACTAACACCCACAGTAGGCAGCTCAAAACCACCTATAACTCCAGCTCTAGAGGATCCCACACCCTCTTCTGGATGCCATGGGACACATGTGCATACACAAACACAGACACATACACTAAAATAGTCTTTTTTTTTTTCAAAAAAAGCGCTTTAAATGAATTTTTAGAAGGTGTTTAAAGCAAAAAACTCACATATTAACCTGAAGAAAAAAAAAAGGTTGACCCTTCATGGCTTACTATCCTTTTTCCCCAAGAATAAACAACAGAGAGCTGAAATTTTTTTCCAGTTTGGCATGGCACTTTTCCTCCTTGAATGCTGGCATTCTGAAGAATGCTCAATAACAAGCTGCTGAGGAATGCTGAAGGATAACAGAAAATATACGTATATATGATTGTAAATACCTTCTAGATTAACTGAACATCTTCGGTTGTCCTTTAAAGTTATTTCAAATATGCAACTATCTCTCTCCTATGCCTGCTGTTATTTCACTTTCGAGCTGTTTGAATGTTCACTATACAGAATCATGTATTGAAGTTAGGCCTGAGGGGTTTTTTTTAACCCTTTTTTAACAAGTGATAAGAATGACAGCTGTCAAATACATAACATCCCTCTGTACTCGCTGTGTTTTTTTATCCCTGGTAAACCAGGTTACTTGTTCAGTTCCTGTAAATTACTCTAAACGAAGTAAGGCAACTTCCTTGTGTCATCAGCTCTCAAAACAGCTGATGCGCGCTTCAGGAGGAAGCTGATTAAAGCTGGAGGCCCGAGCAACTTCTCCCTAAGAAAGCAAAGTGTTACATTCTTCCTCGCAAAGCTAGGAGTCACGGCTTCAGGGCGCATTCCAACTGAGATTTGGGACAGTGCTGAACACGAAAAGTAACTTTTAACGCCGGGTCCAAATCCTCGTTCCTCTTCCTGCCTCCCTTCCCCCAAGAGTCGGGGTGGAGTGGGAAAGTGCCGCGTAGCAGCCACATCCCTGCACGCTGCGCTGCGTCCGCGGTGCGCCCCGCACCCTAAGCGGGCCCCTCGGAGCACCCTGCGCCGCCCTCCCCAGCCCGCACCGCGGCGAAGCCCCGTCCACACCCGGCCTGCAAAGCCTCTGGAGCTGCACGGCCTCCCGGGCGGCTCACCATCGCAGCCCCAAGACCGAAGAGAAACAGGTGGGCAGGTCCGCGGCTGGGGGAATCCGTTATCGGAGCTCGGGATCCATTGGCGCCAACAACTTCTCCCGCGAAGTGGCAGAAGCGCAGGCGGCGGCGCGCGGCGATGACGTCAGGAGGCGCGCGCTCCCCGCGGTCCCGCCCCGAGGCGGGAGTTGCGCGCTGGGTGCTGGACCGCCCAGGCGACAGGGTTGCTCCCTCTCCTAGAGTTCTGTGAGCGCGTGCGATCGCGACCCGGACGCCCAATCCGGAGTCTGAGTCTGGCTTCCTCTAAGGCAGGTTCCCAGGTGCCTTCCTTCCGCGTACACGTCCTGCAAGGGCAGTTGTCTGTAGGAATTTCCAGGTCTTACTCCCACCCCCAATAAAATGAAATGTATTCTACGCACTGCACACATCAACTGTTCCTGTCAACCTTTAATCTGTTTTATTTTCCTTTTCATGTTTGACCTATTGATTTTGGCTCACACTAAGAGACCTCATAGTTAGAAAACTCCCAGGATAAAGGACAAATATTTATTTCTTTTTACACGTTTATTTATTGGCCGTGGAGTTCACCAGCAGCGGTCAAAGAAAAGCTTGCAGGAGCCCTTCCGCCACGTGGGTACATGTTTGTGTTAAAGAGACTGTTCGCATTAAAGGAATGTTTACATTAAGTTTTATTGCTTTGAGGATCTCAAGTGCCCCATCCTTGTCTCAAACGCCCTGTGTAGTTGAAGATGAGCTTGAACTAATGATTTTTCAACGGCCTCCCAAGTACTGATATTTCATATAATATCAACATGCTTGGTTTATGCAGTGCAAGGGATCAAACTCAGAACTACTATGAATGAATGCAACCACCTGAGCAACCCCCAACCACAGCAGCTCTTTGTCCCAAAACTACCAAGCTACGAACACTAGCCCCTTAATTCCTAAAGCTTCATTAAGTCGCTTAAAGAATAGTGAAGCAGACGGACAGTGGTGCCCGCGCATTTAGTCCCAGCACGAGGCAGAGGCAGGCAAATCTCTGAGTTTGAGACCTGCCTGGTCTACAAAGTGAGTTCCGGGACAGCTCACAGAGAAACTCTATCTCTCAAAACAAAACAAAAGAATAGTGAAGCCCTCTGGGCAGTAGTGATACACACCTTTGTTCTGAACACTGGGGAGGCAGAGGCAGGCAGATCTATGAGTTTGAGGCCATTCTTGTCTACAAAGTGAATTCTAGGAGAGGCAAGGCTTCATAGAGAAACTGTCAGGAAAAAAAGTGAAGTCTTGAGCCGGGCGTTGGTGGTGCATACCTTTAATCCCAGCACTCCGAAGACAGAGGCAGGCGGATCTCTGTGAGTTCGAGGCCAGCCTGGTCTACAGAGTGAGTTCCAGGACAGGCTCCAAAACAATACAAAGAAATCCTGTCTCGGAAAAAAAAAAGTCTTTGACGTGACACATACCAAGATATACACCCACAGAAAAACTAGAATCAGGAGAGACTTAGGATAAACAAGTCTCAGCAGGGAATAAGGTTGTTTTCCTTTGTCAGTTTGGAGAACTGGTCCTGGTATGTGACTCAGGTGGGCCCGGAACTCATGATAACACCTCTGCCTCCACAACCCCACTCTGGATTACAGGGGTAATCCTGCAATCCCAGCAGGTTTCCTATTAATAAATAAACAACTTGGTTGTAGAATAGTATGTAACATCTGCATACAATTTCAAGAGAAAACATAAGATTATCCAAGAGTTTAGTGAGGAGAGCAATATCAAACTTTGTCCTTAAACTTTCAAATCTTTTTCTAACCACTTCCGGTTGAGCCTTGTCCTTTTATGACAGCGTATCAACCCGGAGAGGCAGTAAAGACTTCAGGACTACAAGAGTTTATATTTACTAGATATTGATTGCAATGTGATTTGGGTTTGGGTTTTTCTGGAACAGAACTTCTCTGTGTAGCCTGGGCTGATCTGGAGCTCAGGGACTCACCTGCCTCTGCCTCTCCAGTGCTGGGATTAAAAGTGGTTATCCTTTAATCCCAGCACTTGGGAGGCAGAGGCAGGCGGATCTCAGTGAGTTCGAGGCCGGCCTGGTCTACAGAGCTAGTTCCAGGACAGCCTCGAAAGCCACAGAGAAACCCTGTCTCGAAAAAACCAAAAAAAAACAAACAAACAAACAAAAGTGGTTATCACACCTTGTGTCTTTTGTAACATGTGCCCCACACACAGCTTTGCACTGTTCTAGGTTAAAATTCACCGCTAACAATAAAAAATCCCCTATTTAGAAACAAACGAACTATTTCTCATGACCAAGGCTTCACTGCCTGGATTCACCTGAAGCCAGTCACTCTGTTCCTGCTCCACTGTGTGCTTGTTATGTGACCACAGAGAAGTAATTGTGACTCAGTTTCCTCATCTGTTAAAGATAGAACTGTTCCTGACACACATCAAGTAATAATAGCATTTTTGGTGGTGGTGGTAGTTATTTGACTTGGTTGGAGTTTAACTAAGACAGTCTCAGTACATAATCTATAGGGAAAAGGGTCGAGCCAAAGAAACACACTTTGGCCCTGCAACCAGAACCAAAGAAATGCACCCTGACCCTGAAACCAGTGCCAAAAAAGCACACTTTGTCCCTGGAATCAGAGTCAGTGAAAGAAATGCACCCTGGCCCTAAAACTAGAGCCAAAAGGCTAAAAAGGACCAGTAAAAGAAACACACTTTGGCCCTGAAACCAGAGCCAAATCTGACCCTAACCCTGTACAGAAAGCTAACCAATCCCTGAGCAGTATTGAAATCTGACCAATCCCCACCCTGGAAAACTCCACCCTCTCCCTAAGAATCCCTATATAAACCCTGTGTCTGTTCAATGTGTGGCTGTTCGTAGGCAGCCACTCTCCTGGATTCTTGCTTCCCAATAAATCTCTTGAGTGAGGTTGCATGAGATCGTTCGCCAGAGCAGAGTGGAGCAGGGCTGTTAACACTTTTCCCTGAGGAAACCTTCCCCTGGCTAAGCATAGTTGTTACACTCCCTCTCTGGGGAAATGGAGTCAAACTAACAACTTTGCCGGGGAAACCCTCTCCTTCTGAAGCAAAGCTGTAAGCTGATATGCTTACTGTGACCTGTGGTATTCCTTGGTATACCATTCCATCCGAGCTGTAACACTCAGTATTCTGTGACTCCCGAGTGCCATAATCCATCCCATCGGATCCGTGGAAATACTTACATAACCCAGGTTGGACTCAAACTTGAGATCCTCCTGCCTCAGCCTCCTAAGTGCTAGGATTACACGCATACACCACTATACGTGTCAACAATTGTCATCATTATTATAGAGTTTGCACATGTGTGGCAGAAATGACAAGAGATCCTGCCTGAAGCAAAGTGGAAGGAAAGAACCAACTTTTGAAAATTGACCTCTTACCACCACACACACTCTGTGCCATGAGTGTGCTCACACCCAGAAACACAAAATAAATAAATAAAAATAAATCTAAGAAAATAAAATAGGACTAAAGAGATGACTCAGTGGTTAAAAGCACTGGCTGCTGAAGCCAGGCATTGGTGGCGCATGCCTTTAATCCCAGCACTCAGGAGGCAGAGGCAGGCGGATCTCTGTAAATTCGAGACCAGCCTGGACTACCAAGCGAGTTCCAGGACAGCCTTCAAAGCCACAGAGAAACCCTGTCTCGAAAAACCAAAAAAAAAAAAAAAAAAAAAAAAAGCACTGGCTGCTCTTCCAGAGGTCCTGAGTTCAATTCCCAGCACCCACATGGTGGCTCACAACCATCTGTAATGAGATCTGGTGCCCACTTCTAGCATGCAGGCATACATGTAGATAGAGCACTCATATACAATAAATAAATGAATATTGTTTTCATTTAAGTTAGAAACAAGCTTGCTTCACATGTCAATCCCAGCTCCCTCTCCCTCCCCTCCTCCCCACCCCCCCCATCAGGCTCCCAAGCCCCCCACCCAATCTCCACTCCGATCCCCAGGGAGGGTGAGGCCCTCCACTGAGGATCTCCATCGTCTGTCATTTCATCCAGAGCAGGGCCTAGGCCTTTCCCCAAGAGTCCCGGCTGAGAGAGCATCCCTCATTGTGGGATGGGCAGCCAAAGTCCATTTGTATGCTAGGGATAAATACTGGTCTACTACCCAAGGCCCCATAGATTGCCTAGGCCTCCTCACTGACACTCACATTCAGAGGGTCTGGATCAGCCCCATGTTGGTCTCTCAGCCATCAGTCTGGGGGCCAAGAGCTCCCCCTTGTTCAGGTCAACTGTTTCTGTGGGTTAAACCAACCCAGTCTTTTTTTTTTTTTTTTTTTTTTTTTTTTGGTTTTTCGAGACAGGGTTTCTCTGTGGCTTTGGAGGCTGTCCTGGAACTCACTTTGTACACTAGGCTGTCCTGGAACTAGCTCTTGTAGGCAAGGCTGGCCTCAAACTCACAGAGATCCACCTGCCTCTGCCTCCTGAGTGCTGGAACTAAAAGCGTGCTCCACCACTGCCTAGCCTGGATCTAACAGTTTCTTTTTTTTTTTTTTAATATATTATTCCTTTATTTATTTTGTATACACTTTTGTGCTTGCATGCCAGCAGAGGGCACCAGATCTCATTCCAGGTGGTTGAGAACCACCATGTGGTTGCTGGGAATTGAACTCAGGACCTCTGGATGTATAGTCAGTGCTCTTAACCACTGAGCCATCTCTCCAGCCCCCTAACAGTTTCTAATGCACATACCTGACCCTCATCCCGTAACACATAGAGGTAAGGCAGTGCTCTGAAACATCTGAAAACAGCATAGCAGCAAGCAGCAAGTGAGCTGATTCTTGGCCCTCCTTTATATTCTAATCACAGCCCTGTGTAATTGCAGACAATTCACATGATTAAAATGGCTTCTGTTTCAATGCCTGTCCTCTGTTAACTTATCTAAGCCATAGAATGCACTCCTGACTCACTCTGGAAGCATCCTCAAGAGCACAATGGTCACATTGTCTTTCACTAGACTTTGAAAACTTAACAGAAATCAATTGGGTTTTCACTGTGCCACAACAAAATGACCTTCCACCCTCTGGATAAATATTAGCATGTCCTGCTTTCAGGGTTTATTGGAAGATTTTCCTTATAGACAACAGTCTGTCAGGCAGTGTCTCTGTGGCCACTGGAGGTCCACCCTGGTCGTGTTGACCTTAAAGCTATTTAGGAACACAACCATAAAAACCTGTAACCATTAAGGTGCATATATTTTGATTTAGGAAATCAGGTGTGAACTATGTCAATTATCTTAATTCTTAGGTTATATCCAATTAACCTTACTATGTTAGTGTTGGAGTGATCTAGACCCATGAAAACTTTCCTGGTGGTTTTTATATCCTATAAATGATAGGAAATTTCCACCAAGCCACTCCACATATTCACTTACTTGAAAAGGAACTTTTCCTTTTAAAATAATAAGATAATAAAAAAGGATATCATTTCGCTGTTAACATACATATTTGATTATGTATATAACTTCAAACTGTAATTTCCTAAAATATTCCTGGGCCATTGTTTTTAGTTTTGTTTCTTAGGTCCTGGGGATTGAACCTATCCGGCCTCTCACATAATATGTATCACTCCATCACTGAACTATCTGTCTTTCCTATTTTATTTTGTGCTGGAAGACCTTGAACTTGTTGAAGGTTTGTTTTGTTTTGTTGGTTTAAAGGAGGGGTTGTTTATCTTCTAGTCCTGGTTGAGCTTGAATGTACTATGTAGGCAAGAATGACCTTGAACTTCTCATCCTGCAAGCTCTACCTTTCAAGTAACTGGGATTGTAGGCCAGCACCACCAGGCCCAGCTCTCACTAGCAAACTTAGCATGAGTAGACAAGAGTAATAAATGTTCCAACAGTATTTTGTCTACAGAGTCAGTTCCAGGACAGCCAGAGGTACATAGAGAGAACCTGCCTCTAAATAAATAAATAACCCTTTTTTAGAATGCCCTGACCTCTAGATTGTAAAATATCACAGATGATTTTATGCTTTCATATAAATATCTTTCTTTGGTTCTTCAAGACAGGGTTTCTCTGTAGCTTTGGAGCCTATCCTGGAACTTGCTCTGTAGACCAGGCTCCAAGGTGGCCTCAAAGTCACAGAGATCCGCCTACCTCTGCCTCCAGAGTGCTGGGATTAAAGGCATGCGCCACCACCCACCACCACCACCACCTGACTAAATTTTTTTAATCTGTGTGTGTGTGTGTGTGTGTGTGTGTGTGTGTGTGTGTAACACGTTTGCTGGTGCCCTGTGATGCCAGAAGAAGGCATTAGATTCCCTGGAACTGGAATTACAGACAGTTGTGAGCTGTCTGACATGAGTGTTGGGAACTGAACTTGCATCTTCTGGAAATGCAGCAAACCCTCTTAACTGCTGAGCCATCTTGCCAGCCCCAAACAATCCTAACGTTCATGAGTGGAGGAGTGGATAAATAAAATGTGTTGTACACCTACAATGTGATATTTAGCCATAAATAGGACAGGGAAATTAAGCACGGCTGAGGCAGCACAAATTAACAACAAATGCCAGGTTAACCTGGGCTACACAGCAAAACTCTGTCTGTAACCCCAGCACCTAGAGGCTGAGGCAGGAGGAGTTCCAGAAGTCCTAGGCCAGCCTGGACTATAAAATAAGAACCTGTCTCAGGATAGTTTTTAATTTAAATTTATTGAGCATTTACTATGTGTCAATCTCTGGTCAGAGTGCCTTAGGTATGGTAACTCTACCCTCATGATAACTCATAAACACCATTCTTTTTTTTTTTTTTTTTTTTTGTTTTTTCGAGACAGGGTTTCTCTGTGGCTTTGGAGGCTATCCTGGAACTAGCTTTTGTAGACCAGGCTGGCCTCGAACTCGCAGAGATCTGCCTGCCTCTGCCTCCCAAGTGCTGGGATTAAAGGCGTGCGCCACCAACGCCCGGCTTCATAAACACCATTCTTATTATGCTTCTTGGGCTTTTCGTTTTTATTTGATTTTCTTGTTTTTGAGTCAGGATCTCATTATGGAGCACTGGCTGGTCTGGAACTTACTATGGAGAACAGGATAGACTTGAACTCACTATGAAAACCACTTGCTTCTGCCTCTCAAGCACTGAGATTAAGGATGTGTACCACCACACCCAATTTGTAGTTCAGAGCTGGGCGGTGGTGGCACACGCCTTTAATCTCAGCACTCGGGAGGCAGAGGCAGGCGGATCTCTGTAAGTTCGAAGCCAGCCTGGTCTACAGAGTGAGTTCCAGGACAGCCTCCAAAACAATACAGAGAAAAAAAAAAAAAAAGTAGTTCAGAATTGAGTTCTAGGTCAGCCAAGGCTTTGTAGTGAGACCTTGTCTAGAAATATTTTTTTTAATTAGGCAGCTTACTAGACCTGGTGATGTAGGTCTGAGGCAGGGGAATTGTCAGAAGTTCAAGGTGGGCTTGCACTACATATCAAGTTCTCAGGCAACATAATGAGCCCCTGCTCTAACGTAGAAGCAAAAAAGGGACTAGAGATAAAGCCCAGCGGTGGAGCCTGCACAGGTCCTGGGTTTGATCCCTAGTATTGCCAAAAGAAATTAAATCCATGTGCTCCAATAATCCTTAAACCCAAATTATCTCCCACATTCAGAGTCATGTAGCTCTGGGCTGACTTCAAATTCCATTTGTAGCCAAGAATGACCATGAACTTCTGATCCTATTGCCACCACCTCCCCGTGGCTCCCATCATACCAAACCTGGCTGCTTGGTTTTCAGTTCTTTGAGATGTAGTTTTGCTCTACAGCCAAAATGACTGAATTATACATCTTTGGCAGTCCTTAAACTCATAGCAATCCTGCTCCAGCCTCCCAATTGCAGGAGTTACAGGCACGAGACGCCATACTCAACTATATTTTCTTTTTTTTTTTTTTTTTTTTTTTTGGTTTTTCAAGACAGGGTTTCTCTGTGGCTTTGGAGGCTGTCCTGGAACTCGCTTGGTAGTCCAGGCTGGTCTCGAACTCACAGAGATCCACCTGCCTCTGCCTCCCAAGTGCTGGGATTAAAGGCGTGCGTCACCAACGCCCGGCCTAAATTTTCTTTTTTAGTTGTTGTTTGTTAGTTTTGTTTTTGAGACAGGATTTCTCTGTGTAGCCCTGGCTCTCCTGGAACTAGCTCTGTAGACCAGGCTGACCTTGAACTCACAGAGATCCATCTGCCTCTGCCTTCCAAGTGCTGGGATTAAAGGCATGTGCTACCACTGCCCGGCTCAACTAAGTTTTCTTAAAATAGATGGCATTTACTAAGATTATTCTTAGGTGTGTATGTTTTGGGGTGAAGTGTAATATCCTGCTTTTAATTCTTTATTTCTGACTTGTATGTAAATTTGCTCTTTCTAAAATGGGAGATAATAAAATTACCACTGCCAGACTCTAAAAATAGAAAAGTAGATCCTTTATTCAATAAAGTTCAAAACGTTCAGAAAAGGTCTACCGCCATGTGAAAGTCTGCACAGACAGTGCCACTGCTGGGCATTGTTTCCATATGTTTATTTAACACATTCAGATTAGCGTCAGAGATGCATTTCCATCTATCTCATTCTCCTCATCCCAAGAAGACGACACGTGTTTTTGACTGCAACGGGGCCACCTCCCTCAAACTGCGTGGCTCTCATGACCCATCCTAAGTCTCCCAGTCCAGGCTAATCATTGACAAGGCTTTACAATCACAGGCTTTTGCTGGAGCGCTGATAAAGACAGTCCAGCAGTTAGTGGCAAATGAAGGCAGGCTGTGCAGCCGGGTCTCCAGGGAATGAATGGATTTTTCTCCAGCTCGTATGAAAGAAACACACGCTCTAAGAAAACAATGTCCAACAGGGCACTGCAAAGATCTGTCGTGCTGTCAGCGTTTGTTCTGCTGCGAGCTGTTACCGGATTCTCCGGAGACGGGAAAGCGATATGGGATAAAAAACAGTATGTGAGTCCGGTGAATGCAAGTCAGCTGTTTCTCTATGACACTTTCCCTAAAAACTTTTTCTGGGGTGTCGGGACTGGAGCATTTCAAGTGGAAGGGAGTTGGCAGGCTGACGGAAGAGGACCCTCGATCTGGGATCGCTTCATCTACACACACCTGAGAGATGTCAGCATCACAGAGAAATCTGCCGACAGTTACGTTTTTCTGGAAAAAGACTTATTGGCTCTGGATTTTTTAGGAGTTTCTTTTTATCAGTTCTCAATCTCCTGGCCACGGTTGTTCCCCAAGGGAACAGTAGCAGCCGTGAATGCAAAAGGTCTCCAATACTACAACGAACTTCTGGACTCGCTGGTACTTAGGAATATTGAGCCCATCGTTACCTTATACCATTGGGATTTGCCTTTGGCGCTACAGGAAGACTATGGGGGTTGGAAAAATGCAACTATGATAGATCTCTTCAATGACTATGCCACATACTGCTTCCAGACCTTTGGAGACCGTGTCAAGTATTGGATTACAATTCACAACCCTTACCTGGTTGCTTGGCATGGGTTTGGCACAGGTATGCATGCACCAGGAGAGAAGGGAAATTTAACAGCTGTCTACATTGTGGGACACAACCTGATCAAGGTACTGTACAGCTGGCCTCTCACAAGAGCTTCAGAACATAGGGGTGGGGGTTAAAAGAAACACTCTGCTTAAGGGGTAGGGTAGTAAAAACCAACACCACTCATTTTATGCTAACTCACAAATTCTGTCCTTCAATTTTATGTTTAAAGTAGGATGTGTTTCATCTTCCAAAGCTGGCATTAATATGTTAGTTTAGTTAGTTTCCTACACAGCTTGAACTTAAGGCCATTTTTAAAAATCTCTAGTTATAGCATATAGTACAGTTATGTAGTATAGTTATAGTATATAGCATAGATATAGTAATGTGAACCTAGGAGCCTAGTTTTATTCTGTAGTAAAGCAGCTCTTTGCACATTTAGAGGTTGGCTTTCTTTTCTGACAACACATCTGGATTCCAGAACAATGTTAGTACACTATTATTCTCAATACAGATTAGTTGCTTTTGTTCTTAGTATTACTTAGCAATAGTAAGGGGTAGCTCACCTGTGCATATTAAATACAAAAAATGAAATGATTTGCAACCCACATTTGGCATTTCATGTGGGAGCTAAATGAAACCAATCATACAGAGATTGGGAATAGTAGGCCCTGTTGAGGTCTTTAAAGCAACGTGTGTCAGAAGTCAAAATTTATGCTGGGAAATGTTCCTTGTATTAAAACAATAATGAAAGTGGAGAAAAAAATAATATCTCCTACTGTGTACCACAGGTATAGGAAGCACTTTTCGTGTAACAGGTTTGACCCTCATAACAACCATGAAATAGGCCCTCATTTGTACTACTCCCATCTTAAAGATGAGGGAACTGTAGCCCAATGAGATTAAATGTCTTTGTCATTAAAAAAAATTCTTGCCATGGTTCAGAATAAAATTCAGTGGCTATGAACCTGGGCTGAATGACAGGCAACATAAATAAATGTTCTTTGCTTTAAATCTGTTTTATTAAAGAGTAAGCTAGGGACTTTGGAGAGGCGCGGCCTCGTGGGAAGCTAACATCTGAGATCATATGCAGCTTCTTGGATAAATAGTTCATGTAAATATATATCTTATATATTTAGTCCAATGGTTTCGGTCACACCTTCCCTTGGCAAGAAACAGATTGCATTATGCCTTCAAGGTCATTTGTTGCATCCAAAATAGCTTTTTAAAAGTGATATTTGTGTTTTCCCTTTTCCTCTATTTTATCAGCTAGACTTTTTTATTTCTACTGCATTTAAGCATGACTGTGTGAGTGTGTGTGCACACCAATCCTGTGCACGTGCTACGGAACACTTGTGGAGGTCAGAGGACAACTCGTAGGAATCGGTTCTCTCCTCCTCCCCCCATGTGGGGCCTGGGGAGCAAACTCAGGTCACCTGGCTTGACTGCGAGTGCCCTGATCCACTGATCCTCTGAGCCGTCTCAGAAGGTTTTATTTTGAGATGATCATGTTTTCCCAAGTCACTTCTCTGATGTCCTTATGATTTCTAAACCACTAGCCTAAACAAGGTCAAAGGAGTCCCCTGAAATCAGTCAGACAGGGAAATTCGCAGCACAGCCCAATGACCTATTGCACCAGAGAGAAATCTCGTAAGGCTTTCGTAGCCTGGAGTGAACTTATTCCCTGCATCTCTCTCAGCCTTTTCATTTTCATAAAAGAGATTGTTTTGACATTTTATGCTACACCACAGAATTTTCCCCCTCTTGTTTCTCCTTGTGACCCAGGAGAAGCATTCTTTAGAGTTAGTTCAAAACATGTATTAAATTAAAGTTAACTTAAAACTCAAGTGCTACATGATCTCAGGATGCTTTATTTCTCTACTTCTCGGTGGTTTTGAAAAATCGTAAAACTGCTAGAGTCGCTAGAGTCATTCTAGTTCTAGAATGATCTTGAAAACTCTATCTTGCCGGGCATTGGTGGCGCATACCTTTAATCCCAGCACTCGGGAGGCAGAGGCAGGTGGATCTCTATGAGTTCAAGACCAGCCTGGTCTACAAGAGCTAGTTCCACTACAGCCTCCAAAGCCACAGAGAAACCCAGTCTCGAAAAACCAAACCAAACAAAAAAAAAAAAAAAAAAAAGGAAAAGAAAGAAAAGAAAAGAACGTTTATCTCAACTTGAAATGTTCTGGATATTCTGGTTTAGGGACTGCCCAGCTCATTACTGACGAACCTGGAATTTGGGCTTTTGCTTGCTTGTTTGTTTTGTTTTCAAGGTGAAGCCTCATACATCCCAGACTGGCCTTGAATTTGTTATATTTGTTATATAGCTGGGGATGACCTTGAAATTCTTACCCTTCTACCTCACCTCCATGCTGTGAATAGAGGCAGGGACCGCCATTCCTGGTTTATGTAGTTTTAGAGATCAAACCTGATATTTCATGCATACTAGAACTGCCAATTGAGCCACATCTCCAGCCATGACCCGGCTTAGACTCTATGTTATTGAAAGTAATTTACCATTCCTTAAAGAAAGTCTATACCTCTGGCATGAATTTCCCATAATCTCGCCTACCAATGGATGTTCTGTTCTGAGTGGTTAATAGTGTTTGGAACAGAATAAGGGCTGGTTTTACACTTATCCATTATTAAGTATCTAATTAGCTTTTAACTCTTGCATGTACTTTTCACAACAGCTTTACCAGGTAGCTATTATCATGTCCATTTGACAGAATAATATTTGAAATATGCATCATGTTGCTTCCCTGAATGAAATACTTTGGTGGCTTCCCAAAGCTTTTGGGCTAACATCTTATTTTGTCGCCCATCCTTCAAAACATAACCCTGCCTTCACAGCAGCCTACTTGCTGGTCAATCTCTCATCCTGCTATCGTACCACCCTCTAGATGCCCATACAACCCATCATAATGTGTTGTTGGTAGTGGCCCAGGCTTACCTTGCTAGTCCTCTTCACCCAGCCCTTCTACCATGTTCTATCCAGATAAAATGCCTTCCAAAGCCCTGCTTTTCCCATCCAATGCTGTGAAAGACGTCTTGTTTTAGATGGTTATCCAGTCAGGGGTAACTGTCCCTTCTGTGGTCTCATCTGACCCTTCTTTCTTACGTGCCCTGTGTTTTGCCTGCGTGTGTGTCTGTGTGAGGGCGCTGCACTTACAGACAGCCGCAAGCTGCCATGGGGCAGGGAGGAGGAGGGAACTGAACCCGGGTCCTCTGGAGGAGCAGCCAGGGCTCTAACCACTGAGCCATCTCTCCAGCCCCTGATCCTTTTCTTCCTCTTCAGTTAAACTAAGAGTTTCTCCAGAGACTTTCTTTGTTGCTGCTGCTGTTTTCGTTTGCTTGCTTCTTTGGTTTTGTGTTTTAAGTCATGTCTATTTAGTTTGAGGAGGAGCATTGGCATAGGCACACTGAGACAAAGGGCCTTAGGGGTGGAACCCGGGTCCTGGGGCATGGTGGAAATAGCTTTCCCTGCTGAGCCATCCCACCTGCACTGTTTGCTTGCTTTTCGGTTTTGATTCCAGCATGTAACACAGAACATTTGGCACACGTTAGAGTGTAGATGTCCACTGAGGGAATACTTCCGGGTTCTAACTTAGTCTTTGTAATCAAACAGCCAGCGTCAACCTCAGTCGCCTCATTCTGTTGTCACTTATTCTTGAGATATTGCCGATATTAATCTGGTGGTGTGTTAGTGAGGATGTGTTGGTTGCAAGTAACAAATCGAATTCAAGTTGGCTTTAAGCAAAAAGGAGCAATTTCCTGACTGACTAAGCAGGGATAATGGATCCAGCAACTAGGATGCCCTCAGAGGGTCCTTTCCTCTCTCCATCATCTCCGTTCCTTCTTATAGGTTGATGCTGGTTTCTCCTCTATAGAAGGATTTTTTAGCTGGGCTTGAAGGCATGTGCCTTTAATCCTAATGCTCAGGAAACCCATATTTGTGAATTTGAGGTCTTCCCAGTCTACTTGGAGTTCCAGGTCAGTCAGGGAAACAGCAAAACCCTGTGGCAAAACTAAATAAATAAATTTTAAAAAGGGAAAGAAGGAGATCTCTTATGTTCAGTTTTTAAAGTTCAGCACTCCGATGGGCGTAGCAATACAAGCCCAATGCACCAATCTCAGCACTCATAGCACTCATAAGATGGAAGCAGGAAGATTTTGAGTTCTAGGCCAGCATGCATTACATAGTAAGAACCTGTCTATAAAGGAAATAAATAAATAGGACTAGCAAGATGGCTCAACTAATAAGGCACCTGCTGCCAAGTCTGGTGACCTGGTGGAAGGAGAGAAGCTCCCGAGAGGTCTATGGCAGGCACCCACCACCCCAATACACACACTTATATACACATGTCTACAAATGAATAACTTTCAAAATAAGCAAGTAAAGTTTCATAGATAGTTGACCTACTTAGGTGGCACCCTTCTTTCTTTGATCACCAAAGCTGAAAGAGTTCATATTAGTCAAGGCAATAATGGCACTCATTTTTCATTCTATTTTTATCCCTAAATATGAACGATAATCTAAGTTTGTAAGTTTGCCCCTGAAAGTGGGGCATCTTAGAGCCCCTGAGTTCACGGTCCCAAGGGTTAGGGGTGTAAGTTTCCTTAGCAAGCAGTCATCCATTCGGTTCATTACTCCACAAAGCACTGTGGGCATCCATGTTAGCTGTGACCATCACGTGGCTTTGAAACGTTACCTTTCATAGACATACACTGTTGACACAGTGTGAAGATTTCTCAACCCCAGAACTGTTGACATTTGGGACCGGGCAACTTTCTGTTGCGATGGACTATCCTGCACAGTCTACAATGTTCATCAACAGCCTTGGCTCTCCCTACTCCATCTAATTCTTCAGTCTGAACCCAGCCCTGCTTCTGGCTTGTGACAACCCAAGTGTCTTTAGACATTGCCAGATGTCCCACATTAGTCAAGAGTCCTTCCCTTTCCTCCAATTCTTAAATACCAGTGACTTCTATCTGTATTGGACATGTGGTCAGATGAAACATGGCTAAGACAACATTGCCTCCAGGAGATTTTCATTGGATCTCTAAGGTGCACAGATAA